TCAGTCCTTTTCCAAAACGAAAAGCATCGTGAGAGATGTTGGAAAATCATTCTGGTCTTACATTTTTACATATTTTTGGATGTCTTCTAGCATCCTGTTCTTGTTAAAAAATAGGCACTTCACCTCTTCTAATTTACGTGAGAAGTCCTAAAATAGCAGGTTCAGTTTCACCACTAGAACATCAGAATAGGCTTTGGCTGCCTGTGTAGCCAGCAAGGTATCCCCTAGAAAGTCCATTGCTAAATGTAAAGCCATAAAGATACTACTTTTATGTATCCAGCAGCACTGGATACCAGAGTATACCAGTCTGCTTTCCATTGCCATAGTAAAATACTGAGGTTGGATAACTTATAAAGCAAAGAGGCTTCTTCAGCTCACAGTTTCAGAGCCTGATAGTTCAAACGGCATAGCGCCGGCTCTGCAACCTTTTCCCACAAGGCATCCTGGCAGATAGGACCGTGGCAGGAGCCTGTGCTAGAGGGAGATCTTACAGTGAACCAAGAAGCCACAGAGCAACAGGGGCCAGTCTTGCCCTTTTATAGCCACCCTCTCTCTCAGGACTTAACCAGGGTCCCACAAGAACTACCTTAGCCCCTTGTAACCACAGCACAGCACCCCCAAGGGCCTAACCACCTCCCAGTAGGCTCCCCTTAAAAGTTCCATCCCCTCCCCGCATCACCTCACTGGGGCCCTAGCTGCCCACCTATGAACCCTTGCGGAGGATGCACTCAAACCATATCTAAACCATAGCACGAGCCTTAGCTTATATTTTCAGTGATCTTCTCAACTACCAGGGGAATGTTGTAGACGGGAACTTTGAGAGGTTGAGTTCGTGGCGCAAGGTCATGCACATCTGAAATCCTCCCAGGACTCTGGCCCTGACTGCCACACACGCATACCACCACCACCACCACCGTGAGCTGCCTCTGTCCCGCACACCATCAGCTCCCTGCGTGGGCTGCGGCCTCTCTTGGAGGATTGCGGCTGAGTAGGCTGGGTGCTTGGGTCCAGCATCCTTGAAACAGCCACAGAGACAGAAGTGTACAGACCAGAGACTGGGGAAGGACCGTGTGTCATGGCTACCCCAACTCCCAAAGGAGAAAAGACAGTGAGCCATTGTCACAGCCCATGTGGGCTGCAGCTAGCGTGGCTCTGTCCTGCCTGTAAAAGAAACCTTCCCATTGGTGCCAACCAACCCAGGGAAGATCTGGGCTCCGTTATGTCTCCCTTGATCTTCAAAGGGAAAGAAGCTCTTAGTATTAATTAAGGGCCTCTGCCACAGCGGTTACAGCACGGGTACAGCATGTGCGCAACGTAGATGAGGCCCTGGGGTCAGTCATCAGTAGGGGTGAGAGAGACAGAGAGAGACAGAGAGGGAAAAGAAGGAGAAGGAGAAGGAGAAGAAGAGAGAAGAAGGTGGAGGAGGGAGAGGAGAGGAGGGGAAGGGAGGGGAGAGGGGAGAAGGGAAGGGAGAGACTTTATAAAGAGATATCACAAAGTAAAAAGATAAGACGTAAACTGAGTTTTTTTATAAGCTATATGACCAGCAAAGGATTAATTCCCAGTACAGCCAAAATTAAATGATATATTACTTAAACATGCGTGCAATTGTATGGAAAGAGTAGTTTTTAAAAGACCATGGATGAGTAATCCAAAATCCTGAGCAGTTTTCTCTGAGAGGCAGGAGGTGGTAAGGACACACAGCGGTCCGCCATGGGTCACATCCTCATTCTTGTATCAGGTAGGGGTTTTATGGGGCCTGTTATTTTATGAGACTTTATAACTAAAATGTATGTGAATACAGCTCTTCATACATATCGCATAGTAGATCTTAGAAAATAAAGGGGGAAGTAGTTATTATTATTATACCTGTTTCTACAAATGGGAAAACTGAGGCTCGCCAGGGTCAAGCCAGCAGCTTCCTGTGTGCTTGGCAGTGTACATGGGTTCCCCTTTTTAGTTTGGCACCCCGTAAAGACAGAAACTGTCATCGCTGCAGTGTACAGAAAGCGGAGGCCTCATGAGATGAGAGAACCGCCAGGGTCACCTCCTGGTCACAGCTGGTGGTCGTGGCATGCAGGTCAGTGGAGCGGGCTCTGCTCCACCATCCTCCCCTCTGGTGCAGGCAGCAGGGTGTCTAAACCCCTTGCAGTGTGGTCAGTGGCGCTCGGTCAGTGGTGTCTTCCGTGTGCTGTCCTGGTAGCCAGGTAGCTCAGGTAACGAAGGGAGGAAATAGATGAAGGCCAAGAGAGAAGAGCGTGCTGAGGCCTTCAGCGTATTTCTACTGCTTACTTTCAGGGCCGTAAAACTCGGAGCCGGCTCCTCCCATGACTTCAGCCCCATCCTCCGTCACTGCCGTGCCCGTTTGGTTGGCACAGCTTCCCGGCGCTGGGCATGTCGTTGGACTTTGATGTTAATTTTGAGTACAGTTCCCAGGCTTTCAGAGCAGGAGTTTCCAGTTAAGCTTCATGTCCCCCACTTGAGTGTAGGGCGCTAAGACACTGTGCTCTACAACAGCCCTTCCAACGGCCACACGAAGGGCATGCTGAGGACCCGCCACAGCGACTCCTGTGTCATGCCTCCTTGCTCCTGACTCAGGACCCTCAAGGCAGATGGTAGGGGAAAACGTTAAGCAAACCTTCAAAACTGACTAGAATGGAAAGATGTCCTACGCCTTGGTCTTCAGTTTTCCCTGTAGATAAGAAGTTTCTTACCTTCCAAATCATAGTTCTGTCATTTAAACCATAACACGTCGTTTAGTTATTTGTTTGTAATCCACATGCTACTTTTTTAAAATCCATGTGCTGCTGAGAACATATAAGATAAGAAATCAGAAATGTGTGTGTTAGGGATCTCTGCCCATTAGTTATCCATCAGAAGTGAGAGCAGGATGTACTTGCAATTAGTTTAAAGCGATAGGACGGGAGGATTTAATTCACATAAAACATTAGTCCCTGGGCACCAAGGGAGGGTCTCTCCTCCCTGTCTCCCTCCTGCGTGAGTCCTAACTTGTCTCTTGACCTCAGGGGGAACTCACTGTAGTTGTCCCTTGGAATTTAAGAAGGATTGGCCCTAGGACTCCCCGCAGATACGAGATTCACAGATGCTCGAATCCCGTATGTGAAATGGCATAGTGTCTGCGGAGAATCTCTGCACATCCTCCTACATCCTTTGAATCATCACTAGGTGATTTATAACACCTCACGCAATGTGGATGTGGTGCGACTACTGCGTTGTTCAGGGATACATTTCCACTACTGTGTAGGGGATAATGACTAGCAGAAAAGTCAGTGCTATTCAGTACTGACATCACTGTTTTCTGAACATTTTTGATGTGTGGTTGGTTGAATCCTTAGATACTAAACCCGTGCATATGGAGAACCAGCTATATTTTGTTTGCTATATTCAAAGTTTCTGTTTTGCAACCCCGTTATGTGTTGATATAGATTCTGGGGTATTAGGAAGCCCAGTATAGCTAAGGCTGAGGGATCTGTGTGTGATGAGACCCAGAGAGAGGGCTTCCTGGGTTGGGGGCTTGGTGAGGGGAGAAATACAGCAACTATGAACAACCATGTCTTCAAAGAGGTTTTAATGGCACAAGACAATGTTCCATATAAAGTTCAGTTAAAAAAAATCTGGAAAGGGCTGCGGATTTAGCTCAGTGGCAAAGCGCCTGCCTGGCAAGTGCAAGGTCGTGAGTTCAGTTCCCAGTACTGGAAAAAAAAAAAATCTGGAAAGCCAAACATGGTGGCACACACCTGTAATCCCAGCACTCAGGAGGCTGAGACAGGAGGATTGCTGAAGGTTCAAGGCTACCCTAGGCTACAAAATGAGTTCATGGCCAGCTGAACTGCATAGAGAGACCCTGCCTCCAAAATAAAAAAAGAAATCTGGAAAGAAAGTAAAAGTATATGCTGCAGGCAAAGAAAAATATTAAAAGAAAGTAACCAAAATATTATCATTTGTTATTTCTGTATTTCCCAAACTTTCATCAAAGAGCGGATATTATTCTTACAACCAGAAAAAGTCCCCTTTTCCATTACATCTTAAGTAACTCTGAGGTGAAGAACTTGTTTTGACCAAAAGCATGGCCATTGCACATGCAGAGCTAGGTCCAGTGTAAGGGGATGTCCAGGGGCCTCTGAGGGGCGTGGCAAGGTTCTCTGAAGCTTGGAGAAGTCTGACTTCGTTTCTTGGCTGTCATTACCCTCTGCTTCCCAGCTTCCTGCAAGCACCCCCCCGCTTCCTTCTCGGGGTGAGGTATGGTTGGGAGGGGACACCTCTGCCAGGTGTAGAGTGTGACCAGGAGAGGAGGCAAACACTGACAGAGGTCCCTGGCCAGGGCCGCAGGCACTGGGAGAGGTTTGTGGGAGCCCACTCCCGCCTGTCCTTGAGGAAGCTGGATTCCCCACCTTAAGACCCCTCCTGGGAACGTGGAACTGAACACAGATGCAGACGAGATGGCCAGCCAGGTCCAAGGCCGCCGTCCCGCTCTTCCGTGGGCTAGGGCAAGGGCTCCTGTCTTCCGGGTTAAAGCTCGTTGTGTGACTCATCACACATTTACATAGGATCAACTCATACAGGACAGAGACATAGACATAAACGACGAACAGCTGGGCGAGTTGAAAAAGACTCCAGAGTTCTGTAGGAGCGATGTGCGATTTTAGATGGCAGCGTGGCCCCGTGGTACCGAGAGCAACGCTCTGAGTCCCCTCCTCTGGAGGCACTGCGGTCGGTTTTCTTTGTTGCCTCCACACAGCAGGCACACTTTACACTGCGGCCTGCAGTGTCATTTTAATTTTCTCACCTCAGCCAGCGCAGGGAGGGGGAGTGAAGTTTCCAAAACAGTGTGGGAGTTCCCCCTGGGGAGCTCAGCGACGCTGCAGCCAGATCTAAGCTGCTTGGGGCTCCCCGGCCTTGCTCGTCGCCCGGCCCAGGGTGGCCCCTCCTGTGCGCTGGGCACCCTGGGCGCTGCTGACAAGCTTCCCCTGTGCTTTCAGGCATCCGCATGCTGGACGGCGATGTGACGGATGTGGTTGAAGCCAAGTCCCTGGGCATCCGACCCAACTACATCGACATTTACAGCGCCAGCTGGGGCCCGGATGATGACGGGAAGACAGTGGACGGGCCGGGCCGACTGGCTAAACAGGCTTTCGAGTACGGCATTAAAAAGGTGTGAGTAACACAGGGCTGCAAGGGAGCTCATGGGGTGAGGATGACAGTGAACGATTTTAACAGCTAAATATCAGAGCAGCGCCAGCCACAGCCCCGGAACAGGACTGGCAAAGAAGCGCTGCAGTGCCAGGGCCAAAGTGAGAGAGAAGTCACCTGGGGCTCAGGGAGGTGGCCATTCACCAAGTTGAGTGGAAGGTGGCATCTGGTCCAGAGAGGGTCCGGCTGGCATTCCCTTGCCTAGCCCTCTCTACCCTGGGGCCTGCCGTCCCGGCTGAGGGGTGTACAGGTGGGTGGGAGTCGTATCATCTGCCTGTTCCTTGGACTCTGCAGTTGGAAAGGCTGTCCTTGGTCTCAGCCCACCTGCACACTAAACTGCTCAGCTGTGGAGCTTTCTGTGTCCATCATGGGCCACGTGGTTAATCCAGCATCTTACTGTAGCCAGAAGCCATGGTCTGGACGTCCCACCACCACCGGCAGCACACAGCCCAACAGAATTGGAATTTCTGGATAGATCCTCACCAGGGACAAAGCAGAGGACACATGCCAGAGGCTGGCTGTCCACTGAAGCCAGGGAGGCTGGTAGGCTCCTCCCAGGGACCACGGAGCAGCCACTGTGTTCATCCCTTTGGGGCTTCACGGGTCAGGAAGGCTGGGGGCTGCGGAGAATGTGCTTGGAGATGAGCCAGCTCTGACAAGCAGGTGAGGTGGCAAGGCAGACCTCTGCGTGAGGACGGCTTCACGGAGAGGACAGATGGAGCCGTGGTCAGCATCCAGGAGACCCTGGCTGGCCTAGTAACCCCCAACCCACAGCATCCAGTGTGGCCGAGGGGTGCTGGTGGTGGTGAGGGGTTCCAGCAAGAACTTTAGGCATCTCTGACTTCTGTGGGGCAGGAGAGGAAAGGGGTGGGGGGTGCTGAGCCCATTGTATCGTTTAAATAATTTAAAGTTCTTACGGTATGGTAACCCATGCATATGATTAAAATGTGATTAATAAGTAGTAAGCAGATCAAGTGGTACCAGAGGATTACGCTGATAGCAGCCTTTCTTTTTTTTCTTTTTTTTTTTTTTCCACAAAAACAATAGAAGCAATGCAGAATTTCAGACAAGGTGACAGGAAATGAACAATGGTTGTTGTATTACATATCAATATCTTCAAATTGGACACTCAGATAAACAAATATAGACATGTAAGATTAATCAAACACTTAAACATTAGCTGTTCTTTTGAATAGAGCAATAAAAGTCAGTGGTACCACTATGTTAGTGATCCTGTGTATACATATATACATATTTTTCTCCTTATTTCTTTACTCTTTTTCCTCATCCCGTTGTTCTTTCCTTTTAAGCAGTTTCCTTTCATTTCACAATGTCTATTGTACCTCCTAGATTTTATTCACTTTTTCAGGTTCCTACACTAGTGAGACGATATTGTGTTTACATGTGCGGGTCTGATTTATTTCACTAATGCATATGGTCTCTAGTTGTGTCCATTTACCTATAAAAGCCTCAAGCTTATCTTTCTTTACAGCTGAGTAATATTCCACTGTATAAAAATACCACAACTTTTTTATCTATTCCTCAATGGATGGGCATTTGGATTGCTTCCATGATTTAGCTATTACAAATTGTACTGCTATAAACATGGGTGCACATATATTGCTGTAATATGATGTTTTCAGTTCTTCTGGGAAAATACCCAAAAGGGGAATAGCTAGACTGAATAGGACCTCTAATCCTAGTCTACTGAGGAATCTCCAAACTGATTTCCGCAGTGGTTTCACCAAATCTTTTTTTTTTTTTTTTTTGGCACAGGAATCGAACTCAGGACCTTGCACTTGCCAGGCAGGCACTTGTGCCACTGAGCTATATCCCTGGCCCTGATGGCACCCTTTCTTTGTCACCCTCCACCCATCCCAAGTTCTTCCCCACAGAAAAGCTTTTTTTTTTTTTTTTTTTTTTTTAAGCTCTGTGCATGATTTCCCTTTTCTCAGTAATGTTCATAGATTACTTTCCTGGGTACATTGAGTCTGTTTGCTGTCTATTACTTTCTTCTTAGCGGATCGAGTATTTTGCTCTCAGCAGGCTGCCAGCCTTGTCACCCTCTCTCCCACTGAGCTGAGTCTTCCAAGTTCCCCGTTGCCTTAGACTTCTGGGCTTGGGCCTGCTCTCCCTTATACCCTCTGCTAGGCACGCCTGAGCTGCACCTCTTTTGGTGCATAGGTGGATAATGGCTGCTCCAAAATTGAGAGAGTTTCCTTCTCCACTGAGGTCTCCTCCCAACTGCCTGGGCTATGGGTGGCTCAGAAACCACTGGCTGAAAGCAGGGTGTCCATTCTTACATTTCTGAGCTCGGTGCTTACTCCATCTAAGGAGAAAAGGAAAGGAAGGAAACAGTGTTAGCTGCTCCTTTTATCTCCATGCCTTCCAGAAAACACCAAGGTGGCTTCCAGAGCCTGCTCAGCACCTGAACTGGGCCACGTGCTGGCCCGGGTGAGCGCTGGCAGATGCAGACATGAGCAAGTCAGCCACTGCCCACAAGGGACCACTGAATAAATAAATCACATCTTTCCATGACTGCACTCCCCTCCCACCCACTAGATCACTTGGATCTCAGACTTGATGACAACTGAAACATCCTAAAAATTAAGCTGAATTTTGGCTTCAGAGAGGGTGACTCAAGTTAGAGATCGCGAAACAGTGCTCTGTATGGTGTTAACGCTGAACATCTGGCACCTCTGTGAAATGATTTCTAAAGATGCAGGCTCTTAGGAGGAGGCACCCATGTCCAGGCAAGGTAGTAAGTATTTTCCAGGGATTGCTTGAGTTGTCCCCCTCGCTTTGTGTAGACAGAGCCTGTGCAGGACTTTGGAAAGTTGGAGCCGCAGACAGATCTTTGCAGTCTGAATTCTGAGCATCACTGGCTCCATCAAGCTGTCAGGGGGAACAGGGACTTGCAGAGGGGGCCGTGTGGCTCCCCTCAATCTTGTCATGGTTTCTTAAAATACTGAGGTCATTTAGTCTTTTTTTTTTTTTTTTAGTTGTTCCGAAGTAAAATATGTCATATAGGGACCCTTAAATCGCAGCTGTCTAAAGCTGTCACGGAAAACCCTCCTAGAAATTTGATGATCTCAAACCAAACCACATTTCCCCATCTGTTTTTCCTCCGTGCTGCCCCACTTGTCACCTACAGTCTTTTTTCTGTAAAATCTGACTTCATCTTTGGGAGATGATGTGGTCTGGCGGTAGGAGACTTTAGAAGCCATAATTTGGCAGAGGGATCTGTTTAATGTTGCGCCTTATGCAGCCTCACTTCTTACATGGCTCGTCATTCACCAGGGGAGATTAAACGTCACTGTGGCCAAAACACCGGCCTTGTCCAGATGGCTGGCACTGGCAGCCTTCAGGACCGGTGCTTTTGAGCTCATGCACAAAGTCTCCACTCCCCAGGAAGGACCCTGGATATGCTTTGATGCGGTTGAGGTTACAGTTTTACAGAATAGTAAAGCCAAGTTCATGGCTAGGTTTGAAATACCCCCCCTTTAGCTTCTGTCCTGTGGCTTTTCTCTGAAGCCACTGAAAGATCTGTAGAGTGAACATAAAGTCCTCAGAGACAGCTGAAGTATCTCTTTATACCTCAGAGCTAGGTGCCTTTTCTCCTCGCTTCCCGTGGTCTCTTCCAGAAAACCATTTCAAGAAGATACTGTTGACTCTGCGAGCCCGGTGAGAAGGGGTTGGCCTAGCAGTCAATATGCAGTGTCTGGTAGAAAGACCAAAATCAACAGAAGCTCCTTAGGTGGAATTGCAGGCCTGCCTGCTAAAGGTCAGACCTGGCGTGTCCTCCAAAGGCCCATGTGTGAAGCGCTTGGGCTCCGACGTGTACTACTGAGAGGTGGTAGGACCCAGTGGAAGGTCTTCTAGTCACTGGGGGTGTTCCATCAAAGGAAACAGTGGAAGCCCGTCTCTCCTCTCCCCTCCCTCTCTTTCATTCCTGGCCATGAGATGAATAAGCTCTCTCTGCCGCAGACCCGGAGCAGTGGGGCCAATCAGTCATGGACTGAATCTTCCAAGACCAAACCAAAAGAATCCTCTTCTCTTTACAAGTTGATTATCTCAAGTGTTTCTTATAGTAACAGAAAGGTAACTAAGACAGCACCTCAGACCTGCTGGGTCCAAGTCTGCATGGTAACAGATCCCCAGCGCCCCAGCTGCATCGTGGTCAGTTTGGGGTGCACTGTTTTAAGGCACCCTCTATGCTCCTGGAACTATAGGGTTGCCGCTCCACTTTGCAAAGTGACAGCATTTTATAAATGATTTTGGGTGGGGTGGGGAGTTCAGAGTGCAACATCTTAGGAATGATTCTCACGAGGAATAAAGATGGGCTCCTCTGAGTTAAATACCTTCTCATTTGGATTTTGGTTGCTTTAAACTAGTTTCTGATTAATCTTCTCCAATAAGTAATTATAGTCCTGGTTTGCATAATGACAGGGAAGTGTTCTGAGAAATGTATCATTAGCCAGTTTCATCATTTTGTAAAAGTGATAGAGAAGACTGACTCAGATCTAGATGGCATATCCATGGTCCTAGATGTGGTCCAGCATTGATTGAAACATCCCTATGTGATGCAAAACTGTAACTCCATGGACACACCTATTTCCTTAGTTTCTTGTACCTTTCTTCCAGAAGTTAACCTTTTGCTAGACTTGAGCAACCTTTCTGGCTACTCAGACAAGCCCACCTTAGAGATGTAGAGAGCAGCGTGAGTGAAGCAGCTGGAAGCAGCAGGCTGACCACCAGGATCCTCCCCGTGGGTTCTGTTGGGAGCCTCAGGTTGGAACTGGAGTCCTCTTGGTGAATCTTTTAGAGCTTTCAGTGATAACAAACAGCCTGCTGGGGCTCTCGTGCCATGGACTCACCATCACTGGTCTATAGAGTGGAATGGCACTGGGCTGAGGGGTAGGTTCCCTCAGCCATGGAGAGCTTGGATTCTAAGGGTGAGCGTGGATAGCCAGTCAGCTGCTGGGCTTCAAATGCGCTGGACAGGTTGCAGGGTTAGGTTGAAAAGTGTCGTTGAATTGACCCATTGTTGGGCATAAGTATCTGTTTCCTCCCGCGTGTTTGGGAGTGTCCTCAGTAAAGATGCCGATGCTGGAAGCCTGGTGGGTCCAGTTTCACTTGGAGAGGGACGCTGGCACCACTCTCTGGCACTGGCTGTGTGCCTCCCACAGGTCCAGCCACTTGGACTGAATCAGTCAGTCTGCTTTATTAGCTAATCATTAGCTAGTGTTTGTGGCTGGAATGACTCTCAGTTTGGTCAGGAACCATTGCTCCTGTGAGTGTGGGATAGCACACAGCCGTAGGAACCTGCGCTGACCCGCCACAGTCCTTCACGGGCTTGTTCTCGCGCATACAACCTCGACACACGAGAAAAGCCACCCCCAGCACTGCTGCTGACAGTCTGACCACCCCAATGCTGACCCATGGTGGGGACCCCCAACTCTAGTAGGACCCCCACAGGCAGCCACCGATATTCTGGACCATAGCGTTGTTTACCTGTCAGTCTTCACCCAGAATTCATGGGCCTATCCTTCTTTGCAAAATTAGCTGACTCTCCAAGACAGGTACTTCCTTCCTCAGCTATGTTTTTAGCAAAATTTCCTCCCTTTCCCACAAAACCAGCTCCTTCAGCCCAGAAAAAAAAAAGTTACAAATTCTGCCATCATCCATAATCTCAGTATTACTCATAGCCCTTGCAGTCTCTTTGATCCTCCACTATTCTGATGGAAATTAGAGGCACTGCTCTGAAATGGAGCAGCTTGGGTTAGAGCCCTGGATTTTCCTCCGGAGGAACAGAGGAGCCTTTCTAGTACTTCTGTGCCTGCGCAGTCCTGGGACGCTGCAGGTTTAAGGCTGTTGCCCCAGGCAAAATCGTTCTAATAAAATCAAAACAGAGCCCTGTCAGTGGCATCAGGGTGCTCTCAGTGCATCTGTCTTTGCCCCTTAGGAAGGACATTCAAGATGATGCTTCGGGCTGGACATGACACCTGCTCCATGGGGTTCTGACCACAGTGGCTGACGCTTTGTTCTTCTCGTCCCCCTCTAGGGCCGCCAGGGCCTGGGCTCCATTTTTGTCTGGGCCTCTGGGAATGGAGGGAGAGAGGGGGACTATTGCTCCTGTGATGGCTACACCAACAGCATCTATACCATCTCCGTAAGCAGCACCACCGAGAACGGCTACAAGCCCTGGTACCTGGAGGAGTGCGCCTCCACCCTGGCCACCACCTACAGCAGCGGGGCCTTCTACGAACGGAAAATTGTAAGTTCTTCTGGTACGTTGGGGGGTTTTTGGCATGCCCTTGGCTCTTCGGGGTGGACTTCTGTTCCCTAATGGTGAGTTAGGTCAAGATCAGATTGTGCTGGCTTGCGGGTCCCAGCCTCAGCCTCCGGGGAGCCATCTGAGCCTCGAGGTCAACCCCAGTCCCTTGGCAGCCTGCCTCAGACCCTGCCTCACTCATCAGTGCCCAGAAATACCAACCAAAACCTTCTCTGGCGTGAGCCAGCTAAAAATATCATTTAAGAATGGGGTTCATTCTCATCATGTCTCCTTTTAGCTCTCTGAAATTCTGTGGTCACGTCACTGGGAATTCAATCAGCCAGTCCAGTTTTGACGTGTAAAATAGAGTGTGAGAAAGTTCTGGTTGTATACTCAGACATTCTGGAAATCCAAGTGTTGTAGGCTTCCATTGCTACCAAAGAAATATATCCTGGATGTTCTGAAGTCCAGTGGGGTTTTGGTCTGTTCTGCTCACTTAAGTGACTTTATATTTTACTCCGTGTGTGTGTGTGTGTGTGTGTGTGTGTGTGTGTGTGTGTGTGTGTTACTAGGAATGGAACCCAGGACTTTGCACATGCCAGGCAGGCACTGTACCATGGAGCTCGATCTACAACCCCTCCGTGACTTTTTAAGCAGTAGCTGTTTTAGTATGTGGGTGGAAGTTGTCCTTTCCTACATACTTTCCTACTTAAAAAAAAAAAGAGAGAGAAAGGGAGAGCTTCCAGTCCAAATTAATGCTGAATTCAAATGCGCAGTCAATAAGTTAGTTTGTAGACGTTTAAAAAATGAGACTCTGCAGCTGGTCAGACATGGTTTAATTTTAAAGTTCGCTAGCATCTTTCCGCCTTTCCTGCTGGTTAGCCACATCTTTAGAAATTATTTGCAAATTTATCTTTACATTTTTCTGGGGGAGCACCCAGGCTTCCCGTTCTCTGCTTTGTCCTGCATCAGTGAAAGGTCAGTGTGGCGGGGCCCAGCCCGGTTCACTGAGGTGTTCGTTTAAGTCGTTGCTTTCCCTTTGTGCCTGTGCTTCAGCCCTGGGATGGGTGGCTGAGACCCTGACCTATGTCCTATTCCTTTAGGTATCTAGCTCGTTTGAGCACAGACTTGCTGGAGTCACATTAAACACACACTTGGCCCAAAATTCCACAAAGGCCTGCTGGCCAAATGGGGACAGGTTGAGGCTTGCATTATTGGACACCTTGCACCACAGGCTGCGTGCTGGGAGGATGTGTCACTCAGCCCCGGAAGCAGGGCTTGTGGCTGTGTTGGCTTGTTTAATCACACCAGTATGCGGGTGTTCGTGTGGATGTATATGTGCACACACCTTAGCTTTAATTCTCCTTTTTTTTAAAAAAAAAAAAAAAAATCTCTTCTCTGAGCAATAATCTGTGGGTAGGAAGACTGTCATGGAGAAAGGGGTGAAAAGGGGCTCCAGGTGCTGTCTTCAAAGTCTGCTCTGAACACACGAATGGCATTGCTCGTCTGCTCCATGGGCCCAGTTTTGCTTCAGGTTCTTTCAGACGTTCTGCAAGAGCACAAGTTCTTTCAGATGTCCTGCACGAGCACCAGTGACTGCTCTGGACAGTCAGTGTGTCGCGGTGGCAGTCAGAGTGCTCGCCCCTTGCATGCTTCATCCCTCCCAGTCCAGTGGATGCCAAGTAGTGTCCGCCAGCAGTGACGGACGAGGGATGCCCTCGTGTACAAACATGACTTTCGGTCAAAAAAGTAAAACCTAAAGCAGACATCTGGCCAGAAGATGAAGGTTTGTTCACTCACTGAGTATGAGCCATGTTCCAGCCACGGGGCAAGAACTTGGGAGGGACGCTGTGACTTGCCTCAGCCATCCTTGCTTGGGAGGCCCCTCTGCTCACCTCCAGGACTCCTCTGAGGCTGGAGAGACAGCCTCGGGCCTCGTGTACCCTTAGTGGCTCAGCTTCCTGCCCAGTGGCCCCTGGTTTTCCTTGCCAGCCAGTTTACTGAGCACAGGTGTATGCAGGTGCCCAGCTATGCCCAGAGCCTCATGAAGAGCATATTGTTGCATCTGCTTTCATAAGAAGACGCTGAGGACAGAGAAATTGTATCCTCAGTGCTGTTCTCTAGCCCGGCCAGCCCTCCCATGTCTAAGTGCCTTAGCCCTGCTGAATAGGTGGGGGAAGCTGGTCTCCATTGACATTTATGTCAAATCTTCCTGTGCACATGTGATACAGGCTAGATCCCTGCCCAGGAAATTGTCACCCCGGCTAAAACACGACCAAGGAAATGTGTTTTGTATGAAAGGATCTTGATTGTTGTCCCTGGAGGAATTTATTTGCAAGGGTTAGAAAAATTGGCAACAGAACCTTGAGGTGGGTGGCTGGGTGTGTTAGTTACTTTTCTCTCAGATGCCCAAAGTTAAGAGAGGAAAGGTTTATTTAGCTTACAGTTTGTAGAGGTTTCAGTCAATAATCAGCTGGCTCCAATGGTGGCATGGCAGAGAGGCAACCATTCGTGGTGGTGGAAGGCAGCAAAAAGCAACAGGAAAACCTTAACAGCGTCTTTCTTCCCCTTTTATTGTATCTAGTCTGCCGGCATTAGGGCGGTGCAAGCCAATCAGTGGACTGATGTAGTAATCACCAACCCTTAATCCCAGCGTTACACACTCTAGATCCAGCCACCTCTGGAAAAGCCCTATGACTACATGAGCCTTTGGGGGGACATCTAGACACAAACCACAACAGTGGATGTGTTATTTTCCTGTTTTTCTAAGGGACCTTAACACAAGTTTAGTGGCTTAAAATAGCACAAATTATTATCTCACAGTTCTGTAGGTCACAAAGTCCAGGAGCAGCCTTGACTAGATCTCTCCTTAGAGTCTCACCAGGCTAAAAGCAAGGTGCTGGCAGATGTGTTCCTTTCTGGGGCTCTGGGGGAAAATCTATTTCCTTGCTCATTAAAATTGTGGGCAGAATTCAGTTCCCTGTGGTTGTTGGACTGAGGTCCTTGTTTTCTTGTAGGCTGCCAACTGAGGGCCTTCTCAACTGTAGAGGCCACCCACATTTCTTGGCTTGTGTCTCCCCAGCTCCCGCTTCCAAGACAGCAGTGATAGGTCGAGTCCTTTGTATGCCTCATCTCTCTGACAGGCTTGGTTACCTTCCTCTTCCATTTCTAAGGACCCTCTGAGGATATCAGGCCCATCCAGATAATCCAGGATAATATCCCTGACTTCAGGGTTAGGGTTCACAAGCTTAATTCCATTGCAAAGTACAGGGGCAAAAGAGCACCTGGCAGGGGGGTCAGGGATATTCCTGCCTGGCACAGCTAGTTCCATGGCCACTGCCCCTCATTTCAGCTTCTAAGGGAGGTACAGACCAGGCTGAGTGGGTGAGATCCTGAGTCAATCCCACCCTGCCTGGAGCCAACACCTCAGGTCGGGCAAGCAGACCCTGCAACTGGCAGAGCCAACCCCACCTTCCCAAATGGAGCAGCCATCCTTCTCATTTCCCCCAGCAGACCCTGTTTCTGCAGAAAGAGCTGGGTGCTTTCGGCATACTACCTGTCAGTTCTCTGAGCTGGACACTTGCATGAAGACCCTGACCTACCCCTGCTCCCTGGGCACCTCATGAACAGCTGTTTCCCAGCTGTTTCCCAGTCTGAGAGACACTAAGGTGGGCTCTGGCTGGTGGTCTTGCCACAGGGATTAGCAGCAGAGGCCTGACACCAAGACACTGAAGGAGAAGGTCCTTGCTTTCATTTTGCCTTACCTGTTGTCTGCACACACTTCTGCAGTGTTACAGAGCGAGCTGAGCTAATCCATCATCAAAACTCATGGCAGGTGGCTCCCGGCTACTCGTCTTTGCCCTGCCTCGTCTCCCTGTTCTCAGCTGAGATTAGCCCTTTCCTGGGGTGGGGTCCGCATTTTGCCCAGGAGCTCAGCGCCCTCACCAGGAGCACCACACCGTGCGTTTGCCTGCCGCCTTTCCTGTGCCTGTACCCAGGGTCACACCCTCCCATGGGCCACGCGCTGAGTAGTCTTGATCCCGGGAGAGAGGATCAGCCTCTCCACCGTTCCCGTCTCACACAGCTCCCTGTCGCGCAGGTCACCACGGATTTGCGTCAGCGCTGCACTGATGGCCACACGGGGACCTCAGTCTCAGCCCCCATGGTGGCTGGCATTATCGCCTTGGCTCTAGAAGCAAAGTAAGTTTCCACTTGCCTTTTTTTGTTGTTTATTTTCGTAAAAATGTTCATGTTGTCGTCAAGTGCACAGAACATAAAACCTACCACTTCCAGCATTTTCAAGTGCGCGGCTCAGCAGCATGAAGTGCGTTCACGTTGTCGTGTAACCATCGCACCACGCATCTCCAGGGTTCATCCGTCTTCTCAGTCTGAAACGCTGTTCCCACCCGTCACTGTCCGCCCGTGTTAGTGTGTCCGTGCTGTCGTAAAAGATGGTACCGTATGCAGCAGAAATGTATTTTCTCACAATTCTGGAGGTCAGAGGTCCCAGGCCAAGATGTTGGCAGTGTAGGTATCTTCTCAACTCGCAGACAGCCAGTTCCTCCCCGGGTCCCCATGCACTTGCCCTTCTGTAGGAGTTTGTGTACAGCTTTCCTCCTCTCATAAGGATACCGGTCATAGTTACCCGACCCTAATAACCTCGTTTATCTCAAACCACCTTTTTAAAAACACTGTTTCCAAATGTAGTCACCTTCTGAAGTACTAGGGCTTGGGACTCAACATATGACACTGTCCAGCCCAGAATACTCTCTACTACCCCGCTTCTTCCAGCCCCTGACAACCACCATGATACCTTCTGTCTGTATGGATTTAACAACTCGAGGTACTTCATACAAGTGGAATTGTGTAGTAGAAAATCTGAAATCCAAAATGTTCCAAAATCTGAAGCTTTTTGAATGTCAACATCATGTCCCAGAGATTCCAGATTTTGGAGCATTTTGGATTTCAGAGCTTCATATTAGGGATGCTCAACTGGTAAAGTCTACACATATGCTCCACAATGTTTTAAAAATCCGGAACACTTCTTCTGGTCCCAAGCATTTTGGTAACTACTCCACCCATATTTGACCTTTTCATTTGACTTAGCATATTTCACTTGGGAGTTAGCATAATGTCTTCAGGGTTCAGCTCTGCTAAAAGACCTCTCTTTTTTATGCCACACCAGTGGGTGCAAAGTGGTTCCTTCTTTTTCTAAGCCCACTGTCCCCTTTGTAGGACCCAGGGACTATGTTGGCCGCAACTGTAAATCTGTTTCCCATTCTGCACCACCCACTAAAATTATGCTGTAGGCCATGATAACTTCTCTTTAGGAATTTTAGTTTATAAACCGACAGTAAAATGTCCATTGTAAACCAAATAAAAATCCTGGAGTTGTTAGTGTGTGAATGGATCAGAAAGAAGAGTTAACTAGCCAGGCACTCACAGGGTCAAAAGCAAGTTTTAGTTTAGACATCAAAATTGGCACAGAACAATCCAGCTATTTACAGTAGTCACTTGTCATAGATGAGTTTTTAAATTATTCATAAAGGATGTTGGGATGGTAAGTCCTTCTAATTGTGCGTGCTTACATGTTGATTTGCACACAGCTAAAGATCATAAGACTCAAATGCTACCAGTTTAACAACGACAGAACAATCCAGCTAAATGTTTTTGATTTATGGGCCCAAAATGTTAACTTCTTTGTCCTGAGGCTCTCTTTAAATTTTCTAAATAATTAATCACTTGTGTGGAAAGTTGCATTCACATACTTAGTAATTCATTGCTCTCTATTTGCTTCCATTCCTTATTGGAAACATGCAAGGAATTTTGTTAGTCAGAACTAAATAGAAAACAAACCCTGCTTCATGACCAGTTGTACCATTAAATTTGGCTTGGACCCACTTCAGCTCAGAGAGCGGTCTTCCTCATTTTAACTCCTTCTCAGAAGTTTACAGGTGATGAACCAAGCAGACCTTACTTAAAGTAGCACCTGCTTAGAGATTTTTAAACTCAGAGCTTGGTCACAGAAGGAACAAATGACACCCAGAGAAAAGGTCTCTCTCTGTCTCTTTCTCTGTCTCTTTCTCTGGCTCTCTCTGTCTCTGTCTCTCCCTCTCATTGTCGGTAGAGCCGGAACCAGAGCAAAACAGATGATCTTCTGGTGAGGAAGGGTGGAGGGGATCCGCATACAGCCTGTGCTGAGAATGAAAGAAGACCCGTATGTGTAAGAATGTCCCATAGCGTGGGACAGTCTTGGGACTTCGCATCCATCCCGTCTTCACTGAAAAACATTTTCAAGCTGTGGGAGCAATTTCGATGGTAGTATACTTGCCTAGCGTGCATGTGGTCCTGGCGTTTGATTTCCAGCACTGCAAAGAAAAGTTTTTTCAACACCATTTTCTAGACATATTTTCCATGTAGCTATACTTGTGATTTTTTTACAGGAGTCAAAAATAACATGGATTTCCTCCTAATAAAGGGGTTTATAACCTCCTCTTCCCGTAAGCAGCCTGAGGTGATCTGAGAAAATGGTTTGCTGTTCACTTGACCCAGAAAACCCCACAAAATCATGTAAATCAAGAGTCTCAAATCTTTGGGTTCCCTTTAACAATACCTGTGAAACTGCCCAGGCCAGCCGGGTGTGCATGTGTTACGGCTCGTGTCTTTGTGTCCCTCCAAAGCCTCAGGTCGTCATAGGTGTTGCTTTTTCAGAGGTGGCTGGATCTAGAATGTACGATGCTAGGTTTAAGGCTGTGTGGTTACTAAATTAGTGCTCTGATAGGTTTAGCACTTGCCTAAGCCAAGTAGCCTAGGCAGAATATAGAAGAGGCGGAAAGAAGCTGGTGTTGTCGCTTGTGGCTTGGTGCCTTGTGCCTCTGTTTTCTGGCCATCAAGAACTGTTTCTCCTCTGCAATGCTCTCTGCTGTGCCAACCAGCCTTGGAGCCAAAAAATTATGGACTGAAACTTCTACAAACTGGGAGCTAAATAAACTTTTCCTCCTTTAACATTGGGGTGTTGGGTGTTTTGTCTCCGCAACACGAAAAGTCACTAAGGCAGCCACCAAGTATCTGAAAAGCATTGCTTTAAAGGTACAGTGTCGACCATTCCATTGTTAACAGGGGTGAAGCTGTGAGGTGCGGCCAGACAAAACAACGGGGCTGGACGCAGGGTCAGTGGCCCAAAGAGGATTAATATTTTCTGCTCATGCTTTTAAGTGCAGAGAGCTAACAGTGAACTTAAGGGTTTGGAGGTGGTGGTCATCAAATGTGTCCAGGTAAACAAAGCTCCCAGGATGTCCCTCTGGGCGGACTGACAGAGCCCACGGTCAGAGTGAACCACCCGCGAGCTCCTCTGCCGTGTTGCCAGAAGAGACGGTTGCACAGAACAAGCTGTCCCAGGGAAAACCATAGAAATAAAGCTTACGGCATAGGAATAAATTCAGCAGAAGATAAATACAAATGAAAGTAAAAAGGAAGTCTGTTTTCTCACTTCTTCCCTTCTTGGACCCACTGTGCCCTCAGCTCTGAAGCTTATGCCCCCTGATACCGCACTGCTAAGCCTTCAAGAGGGCTGGCTGGGGCTGTCCTGACGGTGCCACTGACACGCAGCGGTAATCCCCGAGGCCACACAGCCACCGGGGCTGAAGCACGCCTGTGCTGTCTGAGCTTGAAGGCCGGTCCCAGGACCGCGCCACCAGGGTGCATGGGCTGCTGCTACGCAGGGCCTCACAATCTTCCGCTAGCCCCAGATGGGCCTGGAGGCTCTCAGGAGGAAGAGGACAGAGGAGGAGAGTAGGTCCTCCTGCGCCAGGCGGACTGGGAGCGTGAGTAGACACAGCTGAGGTGAGAGGTGAGGAGGCCAGTAACTAGCCAGTGACAGGCAGGCACAGCAGTGACAATGACCAGAGAAACGGAGGGAGGCCTGGCAGGTGCGAGCCTGGAGGGGAGAGTGTACCCCAAGACTGATGCCACAGATGAGTTCCTCGTGGGAAGACTAGCAAAGTGGGGCTACGCTGGCAACGTCAACTGGTGCAGCTAGTGCAGAAAACAGTATGGCACTTCCTTGACAAAAGTAAACAAGCTGGCAGAGGTGGTACAGGTCTGTAATCCTAGAACTCTGAGATGCTGTGGCAGGAGGATTGCAAGTTCATGTCCAACCTGGAAAACTTAGCAAGACCCTGTCTCAAAATTTTAAAAAAATTTCAAGGGGGATAGGAATGTGGGTCAGTGCAAAGGCCCTGCGTTCAATCCCTAGTACTGAAAAAAAAAAATTAAACAGGATTACCATAAAATCCAGCAACCCCCAGCTCGGCATATATGCCCAGATGAACTGAAAAGAGACCCAGACAGATACGTATACAGCCGTGTTCATGACAGCATCATTCTCAGCAGCCGAAAGGTGGGAGCAGTCCAGTGTCCATGAATGGCTGAATGCATAAGCATGATGTGGTCTGTATGTACAGTGGAATCGTACCCAGCATTAAAGGAAGGACATATGTTATAATAGGGATGACACTTGAGCACGCTATCCTAAGTGAAATAAGACAAGTACCACGTGTATGTAATTTCACTTATGCGCTTCCTAAAGACGTCAAATTCATAGAAACTGAAGGAGGATGGTGGCTTTCAGGTGCTAGGGGAAGTGGAAATAGAGAATGAGTGTTTCATGGGCACACAGTTTAATTTGAGGAGGGTGAAAATGTTCTGTGGGTGGGTGGTGGTGAAGACTGTAGAGTGACGTGAATGTACTTAATGCTACCGAACTGCATACTTCATAATGGTTAAAATGCCGAGTTTCCTGCTGCGGACACTTTGACACACGCTGGTGACTGGGAAGACAACTGTGATGCCTGGGTGTTACTGGAGCCAGGTTCTTGGGTGCAGGAAATGGTAGAGATGAGACCAGATCCAGAAGAAGTAGAGGCACAGGAAGGCTTGTTATTAGGTCTTCTGCTTGAGACAGAAAAAAACCATAGCTCTGACCGAGGGCGGGTCAGACAAGCAGTTCCCTGAATGAAAGAAAGGGGTAAGTAACATAGCAAAGGTACCCGCCAAATGTCCCCATCCAGGTCCTCCATGCAAATAAGGGAATCACATTTACAGAGGAGGCCTGAGCTTGGTTTTCAGGAGCTGGCCCCTTGTTTGTGTCTAGGTTAGCAGAATGTGTTTGTAGCAATTGTATTTTTAACTCTGGTGCTGCTTTCTAGAAGGCTGAGTCCTGGGCCGCTATTCATGTCCTTGATTGGTTCTGCTGTGAGAGCGTGAAACAGCCATGATCCTTGCAGGGCCTCTTCCCTGCATTTGATCCTTTTATTCTCTTTTGGGTGGCCCTTGACCACCTCGTGCGGGTCACAGGAGGCACGTCCTGAAGTGCTAAGAGCCAGGGTGCTTCGGCATTTTGACTTCCTGCACACATGGCCTTTCTTGGCGGCAGTGGCTTGCGTCACGTGTTCAGGAGTTCAGATGTGCTGTAGGAGCACATGTGGGTCACATGCATCCACAGAAGCAGACATGTGCAGTTTAAGCTCCTGGGACCGTCCTGGAATTGTTCTGGCCACCTGCGTGTCAACAAGTCCTAAAAAAATAGTCTGGAAAGAAAGCTTGGTTGTTGTTTTTTTTTTAATATGAGGGAGCCGATGTTTTGGACACAATAGATGCTCATTCGTCCTTGATTAACTTTCTGATTGATTAAAAGATCACGGAGCTGTGTTAGTTGAGTAGACTGAAAGAAAAATAAAAATAGCGGTACGTATTTTTCTGCCAAATTGTGAGTGGAACCAAGAACTATACTTCTAGCTCTTCTGTCAGACGTTAGTTTAATGTAACAAAAATGTATTCCCTTTATTAGTCACTCCTATCAAGGTACTGCATGTACCATATTTCAAAGCAGCCTTTTAGAAAGCTTATGAATTCAAACATCTGACAATACTGAGAAGAAAGAAATAATATTTTATGTTATACTACTCTCTGCCTTGAGAAAGTATGAAAATACTCTTTCATCAAATTCAAGATGCCATAGGTTTTAAGATGTGCCCTTTTATGTATCAAAAACTAGAACTGCTGCAAATAAAACAATATTTCCTTATTTCTTTGAATTTTGTGATTATCAAGAAGTTCTGGGCTGGGGATAGAGCTCAGTGGCATAAGCGCTTGCCTGGCAAGCGTGAGGTCATGAGTTCGATTCCTGGTACCAAAAAAAAAGTTCTTTTAGACTGTACATTATATAGTCCTGGAAATGAGAGTGGGAAATGGCAATGGGTCAGTGCCCCTGGCCGTGGCACGTGGCCCTCACTGCTGTGGACATAGTGGGGTTAGAGGAGGGACCGAGTGGTACAATGGACCCTGATTTGAGGTGCTTAAAGGCAGATAAGTGTGTCTTAGAGTCAAAAGAAACCCACAGTTCTGTACATGTATATCAGCATGCATGCATCCTTTGAGTGATATGTGACTACTTTGCACCAAAATGAATGTACTGTAAATTTAGAATTACTGCAGTCTGTAGTTGGTGGGTCTACATACTTAGCTTGATCACAGTTTAGGCATGGTCTTGTTCGTTATGACGAAGAATTGCCCCCCATTCTTAATCAACATTTACTGTGACATGGAAACTTTTCTTCTCTCGACTTCCAAAATGCTCTGCGCAGCCTTGTGTACACTCACCTGCAGAGCTCGGCAGCGAGGGGAGGTCTTACATGCTTAGGATTTTAAACCGTCCATTGTACACCTTTATCTCTGGCTTGAGTTGCTGGAAGCTATTCTTTACACAAAGGTTGGCAAGCGCACCCTTGCCAAGGACTGCGCAGTGAGCCCGAGGGCCTTGCTCCCCTTCAGACCTGGGCTGGTTCCCAGTGCGCCCCCGAATGGGCCCTGTGGCCAGTGTCACTGGCCTGCATGGGCTTCACAGTCTGTGGTTGTGTCGTTACAGTAGCCAGTTAACCTGGAGAGACGTCCAGCACTTGCTAGTGAAGACGTCCCGGCCGGCCCACCTGAAGGCGAATGACTGGAAAGTGAACGGAGCCGGGCACAAAGGTGCGCAGGTCCCGGTGGGAGGGGCAAGGACCAGCAGGTGGCCGCATCCTGATGGACTCCTGGTGACCTGCAAACACATGTCCCTAGGGTGATAGGAGTCCCTTTAAAGGGATCCCCATAGCATCCATTGTTAATATTATGTGTCACCACGATGAAAAACGCTCATCCAGCAATTCTTTAAAAGTATCCTGAAGCCTGCAGTGAATCCTCAGGTAAACCTGGAGGGTGAACCTTCAGGTCCTGAGAGTCCAGGACCCCTAAATTCCATGACTTTTGCCATACTCGGGGACCACCTGTGCTGAAATACTTAATAGTTCTCTCTAAATTGACTCTTTTTATGTAAAGAAATGTACTTTAAAAGGAAACTCTATTATGTTGAACAAATCACCAGTTTGAATTTGTAGTTTTTTTATATACATTACAACAAACCCATCATTATTAAAACAATTTTAAAAATTTGTATGCTGTCTAAGGGCAACTTGCATTCTCCTCCCTGAGGAGCTAGGTCATTTTGAAATGAACCATCAGCTTCCTCATGGGTGCAGTGAGGACATCAAGACAGTTATACAAGTGACTTTCTAACTATAAAACTTCTGGCCAGCCTGGTGCTGTAAAAGTAACTCATGGGACAGAGGTGCCTCTACCCCGAGCCCAGCATGGTACAGACCCAGATACCATGAAATCATCACAGTGAGGGCTTGATTAACCCAGATATTTGAGGTCTCTGGAACAGGTAATTACAGAACTGTGGCCACTGGCTTTGTCTAACTTCTTAACAGAGTCACTTGAAAGTGAAGACGTCCCGGCTGAGACGTCTTTGATTGGCCATGGTATACTGGGGTATGTGATTTCCCCCCTTTTTTGAAGCTCAGGTCCAGCTATTTTAACAGCAAACCCAATACGACTATCTGCACAATACAGGTCAAGCACTGTTACTATAGGCTGAGGGACAGGCCTTTTCATAGGAGGCCGCTGCTTGGGCCCCACGCCTCTTTGTTGGCAGGAATGTCAGTGGTAGTGCAGGGCTGTAACAGGAGCTGACCCACATTTCAATTTTGGCCTAATTAAATGGGAAAATAGATCATATCTAGTTCTTGACCTTGCCTCTTAAATTAAACTTTGAAACTCTCCTCCCTTGGCCAAATTAAACACTGCATCAGGCCAGCCCATAAGCACTCTTGTCTGTGTGCTGTGCAATATTGCTTGTCCTGAATGCCTTGGGAACTCAGCAGGGAAAGTAATGGTAAAACAAAAAAAAATAATAATAAGCCCAGCTGGCCTTGTTTGTGTTGCGTTTGTTGCACATCCTACTCACAGGAGCCATGAGGTCTCAGGGGTTCATTTTTTCCAGTGCTGAGGTACAGCCCAGGTCCCTACACATGATGCTCGGCAAATGCTGTACCACTGAGCTACACCCTTCATCTCTGAGGTCTCAGATTTTGTTTTTATTCTCTGGTCTAAGGGAGCAAAGATACTGATAGTCTTTTTAACATAAAGAAACCTGTCTTTGTCCCCAAAAATGGAAGTCGTAGGCACTCTCACCGCTCTTAGTCTGTACCAAAATGGCATGTGTGCCCTGGCCCACTGTCCAAAGCGAAAGGAGTTTGGTTCAGAGAGTAATGCAGTCCGGACCCTTGAGCAGCTGTCGAAGAGATCCCTCTGCAATTTGGGCTTTTCCGGGGCCCCCGTGGGGACTCAGTGGTTCCAGTTTCTTCATCAGAGCACTGCAGAGTGACAGTCAGCCTTGCTCCCTTCCTCGGGGAGGCCGGGGAGCCTGGCTCTGAAGGCCCTGTCTTTTCAGTTAGCCATCTCTATGGATTTGGCTTGGTGGATGCAGAAGCTATTGTCCTGGAGGCAAAGAAGTGGAGAGCAGTGCCATCGCAGCACGTGTGCATAGCCACCTCGGACAAGAGGCCCAGGTAAGTCTCAGCATCCATGACCTCTCAGCATGTGGGACCTGACTGCTGCAAGGTGTGATGGTGGGAGGTGTGTGCACCTGCATTCCTGGGCTCATGGGCGGGAACCACGTGTGCGTGTGCACGGTGGGCTGGTCTGTGTGTATCTGCATTTTCTCTCATAGGTTGTGCAACTAGGAAGAGATACTCTTCGGAGTTCACAACCAAGTTTAGGCCTCTTCTCCTTTTGCAGCAGATTGCACCATGACAGGGACCTGGTTTCTCACCCTGAACCCCTTAGCCCGAAAGTGAAAATTCTTAACCATAAGGATTAGCAGAGCTGGCTGGACCTAGGCTCTGTCTGGTCCAGCAGGATGTAATGGGGAGCAGCCCAGGATGTCCTTCCTGTTTTTCCCCACCCACTAGAGGCTGGAGTCCTGGCACCAGTCCAGCTTACCTGCCCTAGATCCCACAATGTAAATCCATTCAGCGTAGACAAGAATGGCAGTGTCTCCTGCTTCTCAGTGGCAGGCTGGGGGTTATTATACAATGTGCAGAACAGCTCTGCTTTGCTTTTATCCGGCCTCATAAACCTTCTTATGGTTTAAGCGCTGGGATTTTTTAACAAGCCTTGAGTAGTGGGCTGTAGGACCCTGACTTCATCTTCCTTCTGTGCGTTGCCCCTTGGAGGAAGGTATTCTAAATCAGTTACATGTGTTCATTCAGATGTTTATGTACACAAAAATCAGCTGTAAAGCAAACCAGATGACGGGGAGCCTACTCTATTCAAAAATCAAATTGCCCTCCTGAATCCTGCTGCTGAAACTATGCTTTCTAAGAAGGTGAACGGTGCTGCTCTAGGATAAAGAACAGAGTGTATTTCCAGCCATAACTATTTGTTTCCTTTGGAAAAGGTGTTTGAAGGAGATGAGGAAGTAATTAGAGTGATTAGAGGTGAGACACTGCAAGGCTTGGGGTGTAGCTCCGAGGGAGAGTGCTTGCCTCGCATGGATATACAAGGCCCTAGGTTCTATCTCCAGCACTGCGAACACACGCATGCGCACATACACACACACACACACACACACACACACACACGCACAGTGGTACACAGCTTTATCAACAAATACAGATGACTCTCTTTGAGATTGTCAACTTCCATAAATACACTTCCCTCTTATACTAGGCTCTTTTGCCACAAAATATTGAGAGAATTGTTTCCCATGGATACCTTGCAAATGGTAGGAGTTTGGAAAGTATTTATTTTTTAAATAGCTACAGAAGGATTTTTCCAAAAAAATGGTATTTCCATCCTGTGGCTGATTGCTCGGCCTGACCCCTGGGTGATGGCTCGCGACCAACCAGGTCGACTAGCCGGGGGAAGTCCCAATGGTGGCTTCTTAAAGACTTGCTTTCTCTAGGGAGCCTGAGACTGCCGCATTCAAAAGAAAGAGGGAGATTCTGTGAGATACAGGAACTGTTCTGCCTTCACTGGCTTGGTATGTTGGAAAATACCTGCCGCAGAGATGATCAGAGGCAGGGTAAGGTGGTGCTGCGCTCCAGGTCCGGGTCCTGACCCACAGGCTGCCCGCTTCCCTCTCGCTGGTCTCCCGGTCAGGGCAGCTCCTGAATGAAGCATTCTTCTCCTGCCAGAAATCATTTTAAGATGGTAGAGTGGTGCCTAGGTGGCGAATGGTTGTTTTTATTTTTATTTTATTTTGTTTTTAAGTGAAAGCACACAGAGTCTAGACAGCACAAGTGGAGGGAACCCGCCATAACATACAGTATGACATTGTTCCTGTCCTTTGAGGAAAATAAGGACTGTACAAATTCCAAGCGAGAGAAAGAATCAGACTTCTGTTCTACAGGGAAATCATCTTTACCTTTGGCAGTTTCAGGCCCTTTCGGAGATTTCCAGCCAACCTACTGTCTCAAACCACTTGCCTAACCCTACCATGAGAAGGTTCTCTGGACACAGGGCTTCCAGAGAAAGAGACTAATGTCGCTGGGGGAAGGTTGGTGCTCCTTTCCAGGGGTGGGCTCCGTTTCCTCATGGGGAGCTTCAGCCTGCTCTATAGCCGTCCTGCTGCCTCAGGGCTGCAGAGTCGTCCCCTCCTGCCGCCATAGTTATGGCCAGTTACCCGCACCAGAGTTCCCATCTGGCCTGCTGGGGTCACCTGGCTCAACAAAGAGAGGACACTGTCCCGAACAGCTGCTGTCCCTCCCTTCATGTGCACTTCCCAGTCCAGCTGTCCACTCTCTTGGCGTCATCCTGGTTTCTCGCTCTCATGATGGAATCCAAGAACTTTCTACATAGTTCAGACCAGGCCTCAGCTGCTTCTTGGGGTGAAGAACTGAACAAGAGGGAGACAGAGAACAGAGAGGACAGAGAGAGAGAGAAAGAGAGAGAGAGAGAGAGAGAGAGAGAGGGAGGGAGGGAGAGAGAGAGGGAGGGAGAGAGAGAGGGAGAGAGAGAGAGACTGACTCTTTATAAGCCTATCCCGTATTTTGTATGTACCATGTGGGGTATATTTTCCTGCTTTCTCTTGTGTAGAAGGGAAATGCTCGCTACCCTGGTGTGACCGGAAGTCAGAGGACTGTGTTCACTGGCCATTAAGTCCGGTGAGCTTCTAGAAGGCATTTGGCCACACCTGCCATATCCACAGTAATGTCGTGGGAAGTCTACGGTGAGTGGGGCTGGGGTACTGGTGCACCAGCACCCCGCTGCCAGGCTATGTCTGCAGTGACCCACATGGAGTCCTCCTTGGATGGAAGCTGACACCGATGCTCTGAAATCTGAGGAAAGGCCACGCGGTGGGAAAAAGACCAGCCCAAAGGGAACCCCAGGGGATCCATTGGCACTTCTGATCTGGACACTGCACATGTCTGGACAGTGTGGCTTGGAGCTTTTCTAGCCTGATAGATAATCGCTCCCTTGCGGACTGGGGATGTAGCGGTGTAGCTCAGTGGTAGAACACTTGCCTACTGTGCATGAGGCCCTGGGTTCAACACCCAGAGGAAAAGTCCCTCAGAGCATGGAGAAGGTCAGGAAACCCACAAGGAAAAGGGCCACAGGGAGCGGTGGGCGTGGGTGAGGGTGGGGAGGCTGGGGCCTGCTTCCCCAAGGCACTGCCAGATCCTCTATTCTTGCTGAACCATCTTTACAGCCTGGCATCCCCTTTTCCCCAGAACAGACTGAGCCCCTAGAACCCAGCATGTGAGTTCCCTCTGCAGGAGCCCACAGGAGCGTGGCTGTCGCAGGCAATAGTCCTTGAATGCTAAATCTAACCACAGAGAGAAGGGAAAATCACTTGAACTGAATGAACTGAACAGAAGTTACATTTTGCAAACGAGAATGACTCAGACGTCCTCTGAGTTAGCGGCAGGTGAAAACACAAGCCGTGCCTGGGTCTCTGCTGGGGTATTTAAACACACATAGAAGATCAAAGACATTCTTACCTGTTCCTGGGCACAGATAGTTTCAACCTACTTAGAGCCTTTCTTCTATTAAAGAATGGCAAATAGGATCATGACCAGTGACATCTGGCCGTGCAAAATTAGTTTTCAATCTGTGTGTATTAAATAAAGAGGTTAAAATTAGTACTTTTATGTCTTTTCTTCGAGTGAAAAAGAAAATCAAGCTTAACATAATTCCTTTGAAGGAAAAGAGGCCCAGCTATTTAATATCTTATTTGACGCTTTGTATTTTTCTATCCAGTATTTTCCTTTTTTGTTGTCCCTGTGACTCCCAGCTTGCTGCTGGGGGAGGACAACAACAATAAACTCTTTTAACCAACACAAAGCAAGAGGAACTTACCTACATGTCTTAAGGTTTCAATGGTTTGGAAGGTCCCCATTCAGTCAGAATTTGCTGTTTACTTTGACATTTTATTAAAGATCTCTGTCTCTCTGACTCTCTCTGTCTCACTTCCCCCCCATACACACACACACACACACACACACACACAAACACACTTCCATCCCCAAAACCACTGGGCGGTTTGAATATTAAGGATTATCTGTACAGCAGATAATCTGTTTATAGATGTTCAGGAGTTAGCTCTGGATTAACCACATCCTCTGTTCTTTTTTGGTATTTCATTATTTCTGGAATTTCATTAAACCAGACTGCACTGATGCTCGTTTTCAGACAGCTCTGTGCATAAGGATATGAGACTGTGGAGGAAGGATGATGTTATAATGATTGTAAAGGCACTTACCATGCTCCAGGCATTATGCTAAGTATTTTACATACATTAATTCAAGGCTGTGCAGTTCAGGAACTATTATCCCCATTTCATAGACGAAGAAATTGAGGCATGAGGAGTTTAGCAACTTGCTGGGGTCAGGGGTGCTGCAGAGCTTGAGTTTCCACCCCAGGTGCTATCTCCAGCATCCACCTTGCCCCTTTAGGTGGGAACTCTGGAAAGTATTGACCCAAGTAGAGTTATCTGCATTCCCCTGGAAAACCTCTTCCCTTCCCTCCATGCCCCTGCTAGCTGGACACATTGCCTCCAAGGTGTCAGCACTGAGTGGTCAGCCCCTAGGGCTCATCCATGGCAGGTTAGTGAGACCAGCAGTGGAAGGGTCCTGCTGGAGTGTGTGAACAGGACTCAGGCCAGTCAGACTCCCAGCTGTGCTCAGTGTGCTCTAACATTTGTTTAGGAAGCTAAAAGTCCCTCTTTCCTTTGGGCTCCTCTATACTCTGCAGATCCCCACCCCTGCCACTCTTTCACCCTCCACAGTGCAGCTTTCCAGGCCTCTGACCTCTGCGCATGCCTGGGTATCTAGTAAAGCCCTTGCTTTTGATTTCTCCTTTCAGGCCATTACTACATAGGGCATAGTTTGATGTTGTTAAAACTTGTGAGGTACTGTGCAGTCCTGTCCTAGGGGCACCCATCCTGGGCCCATGGCATTTGTTCTGCCTCCTGATACCCCTGCAGGCTCTGATGGGCTTTAATAAGCTCCTATTTTCCTGCAGCGCTGGACCTTCCTAGCTTAGTTTTTGAAGTAAAATTTTCTCT